AGGCCCATAACTACCAAACCATCAGAACCTTTTCTTAATGAAAGGTAACATTGAACCTATCTAAAGCAATACATTGAATTGATAGGATCCCATCAAGAAGTAAAACCACCTAATGGTGTCAAGTTGTAACTACCTTAGAAGATTAAATATGACACATTTGGTGATTTTTCTGAAAATGGAAAATAGTCTACAGCAGACAGTACAGAAATAATGTCCTGCCTGTATCCAACTACGGTCAAAAAAAAAGAGTGATGGGGGGACTCAAGAGGTGTGCATTGTGGCTGTGAGAACAGAAAGGTAGGACAACAGTATCCTTTATTTTTGTCTCTGTAGTGCCTGGCATACTGTTGGTACAAAAACATTCCAGAGTATGTGTGCATACATATGACTGTGGCACTATCAGTGCTGATTTCTTGATGTTGGCTCTGCAGATACAAGTGGAAACTCGAAAACAGAGTATTATTTGGGAGTTTGAAAAATACCGGCGATTACTGAAGAAGAAACAGACATCAAGTCAACTGCTAGAGGTGGAGGTGGCCACAGCTCTGGCCAGCCTAGAGCAGGAAGAGAGAGAAACTGTGCAGAAACTGGAGTTGAATCATGATCAACTAGTCCAACAGAGCCGGGTCCTATTGAGGATGATTGCGGAGCTAGAAGAGAGGTCTCAGAGGCCTGTCCGGCGGATGCTACAGGTGAGTAGCAGGTTTTCCTGGGGACCCCGAGTGAGAGCTAAAAATAGCTTTGAAGTTCAGGAGAGAGGATTATCTAGTCTTCTGTATAACCTTTCAGCATTTTGCCCCATCAGACGTGGGTCTTCTATCCAAACCAAAAACTCACTGCCGTCCAGTCAGTTGTGACTCATAGCAACCCCTCCTTCAGTTTCCAAGCAGTAGCTCTGCAGAAGTTTATTGTCCAGTCTTCCTTCTGAGGAGTGGCTTGTGGGTCTTCTATATCCCCAGCTAATACCTACTGCTCCCCTGTCTAATGGGTTGGATGGCCTGGCCCGTTGTGGCCTACTAAGTGGTGCAGTGCTCAGGCAGCTCTTCCGTCATACCAGTCTCCTCTCTAGCTGGAGAATCTTGAAATAAAACTTTTGAAAGCTTCCAGTCAAGCCAGTCTCAGCCTGCTCAGCTACCCTCCATGGGCTTCTCCTATGCACACCTTTCTCTCTAGCCTTAGTGTCTGCTTCACTTTCCCTTAAAGAAAGCCCCTTAAGTATTTGGCATCTGATCCTCTGAGGAACAGCACATACTTATGTGATGCATTTTTTTCTCCTTTTAGGGTATTCAGGAAATCATAAACAGGTATGTTCCCATCATTGGAGTTCTGGTCAGCTGTATAAGGTATAGTGGGTCTTGGCCAGGGCCAGAAGTAGGGAATAAGCATAGACCCAGTTCTCACAGAAAAGTAGGTTTTGGTCCACAGTCTTCTCTCTCTTATTAAAAAAAAAAAAAAAACTTGTTGCTCTCAAGTCAACTCCAATTCACAGCAGCCCTCTCCACAGTGTGACTAACAATGGTGCCTATATTTTCAATTTCCCCCACTATGCCTTCCCTGGGTACCTCTTGCCTTACTTTAGTCATTGCTATAGCATTGGAGCCAACAACAGTACTCCTCTGACCATCTGCTCCCTGGAGAAGATGTACTAAGGTAGTCACCATCCTTGCCAGAGACTTTGGAACTTTTCCTGACCTGAGGGTTCTTGGAGAATTCTGCCACCTACAAGTATCCCCTTGAACTGAGCTGAGCCTAGAATCCAAGGATTCCTCTGCCTGACCTAGTGGTCTCCTGCTGTTAGGATGTAGTGTGTCATTAAAGTTGGTTGGTTTATTGCTAGGTGCTGTCAAGTTGACTCAGACTCATAGCAACCCTGTGTACAACAGAACAGAATTAAAGTAGTTATATGAAAAAGCTGGGGCCCAGTCAAATGAATATCTCCTTTTTCTTTTTTGTACTTGACCAGCCAAATTCAGATATCAACAATAAGAATTTCAGGTAAAGTTATAAAATATGTGATTTAGATTAGATTGTCTAGGGGGAGAAAAGGACTGTAAATCTTTCCATTAATGCTCTAAGCTTTCAGTCTCAGCCTTTTTGCTTTGTGGCATACCTCTTCTTCCAATGCCATATGCTCCAGTAACCTTCCTACAGTGTAAGAATGCAAATATTCTCATGCCTGTGCTACAAATGGCCCAAGGCTCAGACCATTTTGCCTGTGTTGCTTAGGAAAAGTACCTCACTGACCATGTGCCTGGCCAAGTCCCTCTTCCCTATACTAAAGGAAAGCCCAGTGGCAGAGCCAAGACTTCAGGGCCCAAGCTCTACTCTTCCTCTGCCAGGAGTAAAGCCTGGAGCCTACAGCGGCCAGAACCAGTCTCCCTGGAGCTGAAGACAGAGTGCCGTATACTGGGACTTAGAGAGATCTTGAAGACATATGCAGGTAATGGATGCTGGAAGAGATTGTGATGGACAGTGGGAAAGGTCTCTCCTAGATAACATGGTTTAGTATCCTCAGAATGACCCATCTAGCCCCACCCCACCCATCATTTAGAAATCTGTGGTTGTATTTGTCTGAGAGACCTAGCCCATGCCCCCTTGGTTATCAGTCTTAACCAATCAGGACCTTTTTCCCCTAGTTGATGTGTGCCTGGATCCAGACACAGCTTACTCCCGCCTCATTGTGTCCGAAGACAGAAAAAGTGTGTGCTACGGAGACACCAAGCAGAAACTGCCTGACAATCCTGAGAGATTTTACCGCTACAATATTGTCCTGGGCAGCCAATGCATCTCCTCAGGCCAGCACTACTGGGAGGTGGAGGTGGGAGACCGATCGGAATGGGGTCTAGGAGTGTGTAAGGAAAATGTAGACCGCAAGGAAGTTGTCTATTTATCTCCCCACTATGGATTCTGGGTGATAAGGCTGAGAAAGGGAAATGAGTACCGGGCAGGCACAGATGAATATCCTCTCCTGTCCTTGTCAGTACCTCCACGCCGAGTGGGAGTGTTCCTGGATTATGAAGCCCATGATATCTCCTTCTACAATGTGACTGATAATGGCTCCCACATTTTCACTTTCCCCCACTACCCCTTCCCTGGGCGCCTCCTGCCCTACTTTAGTCCTTGTTACAGCATTGGAGCCAATAACACTGCTCCTCTGACCATCTGCTCCCTGGATGGGGAGGACTAAGATAGTCACCATCCTAGCCACAGACCTTGGAACTTCACCTGGCCCTCAAGGGTCTTAGAGAACACTGCCACCTATAAGCATCCCCTTGAACTGAGCTGAGCCTTAAATCCAGGAATTCTTCTGCCTGACCCAGTGGTCTCTTGCTGGCACTAAACTACTTATGTAAAAAAGTTGAGGCCCAGTCAAATGAGTATCTCATCCCTATGAGCAAAACATGGCAGAGCAGTTCTAAAATAACTCATTGATGTAAAGATTGGGAATTTATTCTTTCTCTCATGCCCCTTTCCCATGGTCCTTATCCAAGGCCATAATTAGTCAATGAGGATGATGAAATGGATACAAGCTCCAGGAAATGCTTTCGATAGGATTTTAGCAACAAGCTAAAGGATTGTTATCTATATTCAGAGCTGGTTGCTGTGCTGACACCAATCACAGATTCTTCACCTGAGGTTTTGCTGCTACTGACCAAACCATATATGACCCTAGCTCTCAGACCTACTGACTAGAGACATGCAATGCAACAAAGAATGCAGGACTTCTCCAGGCCCCTCTCTGAGCACCAGCTTTACCTCAGACTCTAAGGACACCTGTTTCCTAGTCCTGCCTCTTCCTCTAAGTGACAGGATCCAAAATCTGTGAGCCTTACTTTTTATTTTCACTTTATGGATGAGGAAACTGAAATGGCCTTAATGCAACAAATTATTTCTCACAAAGCTGTTAAAATAATTATAAAGCATTCACATGAAATAAGAGTGGCAAATTCTCTTTGGTCACATGTCTGCATAACATTAATTACATTTGGATCTCAACCATCTCATGTCTGAAAGCTCTTAAGTTTCCTCATTGGGGAAAAAAATGGATATAATACCTGCATAGTCCCCTACCTCACAGGGTTGTTGTGAGGATCACGGATTCATCCTATCCTTCTACTCATTTCTCAGGGATAGAGGACAGCAAAGTAGATATTTCAAATGTGGTAATTTTCCCATCTCCACATCTTATAGTCATCATCTTCACAGCAGTGTCTTTGTTCCTTAGGGCCCCTCCTGGCTGTCCAGTGCCCTTTCAAACAAAAAGGAACTCACACTAGTGGCAAACTCTGGACTACAGTAGTGTATTGTGCATCTGATTATATGTGTTTGTTTTTGAATTACAATGGGGACCATAACCAAAGGATACAGAACAGAGATAATAAAATGGGAAGAGGAAAGCATGACTAGGAAGGAAGAGTCACACACAAGTTAATTTGGCTAAAGTTTTGATCTTTTGAGTTCAGCAGGGGACTCTCCATGGTTCTGACGACTACATATTATCCTTGTCTTTTCTCTGTATCTCTGACAGAAGGAAGAATAGGCAAAGGAGAGTATGAGAGGGAAAATTAGGACTAGGTGCAAAAACTCAATTTTTGGAGCCATATATTATAATGAAAGGAAATTAAGACTACATATCTGTGATAATGACCTTAGAGTGAGGGCTGTGTGTGACAGGGAAGGTTGGACAAAAACAATTCATTACAGATCTTAATGACCGTGGCTAGAAACAAACTGGAAAGCAAACATCAATAATTATTCTTTGCTTACTGCAGGAGGGCTCACTGTGTGTGACCATCACATATTGTCACCATGATGCTATCTATATATTACAATTGCTAGTGTAGTTGAAGCTTGAAGGCAGCAATTGGTGTGTTAGAATTAGATAGCCAAGTAGATACTAGGTTAGGCAAAGACAAAAGCAAAGCAGCTTCAGTATTACCTGTAATAAGGAATAGCACAGATAGTTTTTCTACTTTAGTTGTTTGTCTGTTCACATATGATGGAGGTAAAACAAACCAAAAAGGAGCCAATAAACTCATTCTGCCCAGATACATGCTTTCCAGTTGCTCCTCAAGCATTACCAATAGAAGGGGAAAAGTTTTTATCAGCTGCTTAAAGAGGAATGAGCTGGTAAGTCTCAGACCTAATCCTTAAAAAATATGAGGTACATTAGAGGGACCATGTATTTTTGTGTGTGGACTCCCTGGGGGATTCTTTAAAGGGCTGAGAAATAGATCCTTGGAAAGAGTCCTGGTTATGTCTGTGGATAATCAGCAGTAGCATTTACAGGCTATATCAATGTTTCTTTATTATGGTTTAATTATAACAAATCTTGGATGGTTAATAGAAAAAGGATTATTTGGTGATGAATTCATTCAAACCTGGAATAATTAAAGAGTGGAATGGCCTCATTGTAATACACTTTTTTTGTTGGGCTGGTTGGTTGTTTTTTTGTTTTTGTTTTCACATAATCTAATTTCGTTGCTATGATTATTTGCTGTAAGAGTTACAAGGTTAAACAATGCCACATTGTTTATTTCATGTCAATTTTTTTAAGACCTCTAGGCAAGAAGAGTGAAGTTCTTAAGTGTATGAGAACTGTTTT